TCTTAGCCACGCCGTCAAGGACCTGCAATCATAGTTATCGTTGTGAGAGTCGATTGAATTACGGTAGCCGGAAATGCCATTATAGTCCGTTGTCCTGGCCTTACTCAAGTCTTCTCTGGCCTCAGCCAGGTCTTCTCGCAGCCCAGTGGCCACGGCTGTTTCTGCCGTCAGTAATGTCATCTCCTTTTTCTCCACATGCCATTGACTCTCCCTGTTCCTGAAATTTTGGCGGCCAAGTCATGGATGTGTGGAGCTTTTATGCTAGCTATTACTGCTAGCTTCCTTGGTTCTTGCGAATGCGGGACTTCCTTTTGGGTTTGTCTCCCGTTTTGTTTCTCTGCCAGATCCTTGAGCAAGTCGAGGGTTGCCTGATCCCCTTGTCCAACAGGCTGTCTTCTCCAACGTCAGAGTCCATCTTCCCTAGATCTTCCGTGACCAACAACTACTCGGATATGTCTTCGTCGTTTTTGTCTGTCATCTCGTTAGGTTTTGAAGGTTTTCCGATGCACGTGCCGGTCCTCGTGATAACGCTCACAATGGCTCCTAACCTCACTTCCCTTCTTCGTAGAAAAATGTTTACGGTTCTCACATGTTGTATCATTGTAATAGAAAAGTATTCTATTATTTTTTTTCGATACAACGAATATTTATGGAGTTATAATGCTATAAACTATTCAATGTCCCGAAACCCCTCGAATTTTGTATGTTGTATAACTTCCGAAGAAATAAAAAAAAATTCTTTACATTTACATACATTTTTGGACTTCGTCTATAACATAGTAAAAAATTGCAAAAAAGCCGGTTTTAACCAATTAAAATAGTGTGGAATGCCATTGAAATAGTGTGGAATGTGGAAGTCCCCGAATCGAATTCTTGAGTTTTCTTGTTACTAATACATTACTCATAAAAAAAACCGAAAACCCTTAAATCGGTTTTTGCTTCCGAATAGAAGCCTAGTTTTTCTTTAGAAACATGTTTAAGCGGAAGATTTAAAAATTTCATTTCCAATGGGAAACCTTTTTTTTTCCAGAAGTTCATTATATATTAATGACAGGTGTCCTCATGATTATTTTGTCTAACCATTCACTGTGTATTAAATGGAAAGTGATAAACTATGACCAACCAATTTATTTATCATTTTTCGATCAACAAATAGTCGAGCTGAAGCTAAAAATTATAAGGATGTATCGTCACTAAAATATCTGCAATGTTCAGAACGTTGTCTCAATGAAAATTGTTATTTTTCGTCGTTTGTATGACCAAATGGAATCAAAAGTAAAGATTAACATTTTTTTATTTAGCACCCATGAAATTTACTGCATGAAAAATACATACAATTAAGCGCAATGCAAAACAAAGTTAGTCAACCTTATCTGCACACCAAATTGAAAAATCCTTTAAAAATCGCTCATGATTAATCCTCATGGAAATCATGCATGTTCCACGTGAAAAAATCCCCTTCCGAAAAATTGGCATTCCAATTGTTCATTAATAATTTATGAGCAGCAAAAAATCTTACATGCAATCGACTTGGGAACATTCATTAGTGCAACGGGTAAAAAAAAGAATTAGGTCGAAAAATTGTTTCTTCATGAAATTTATACATTCTCTTCCGAGGATTACTATCTCAGTTGAGAAGAATACAAATTAGCTTACGCCTCTAAATTTTAGAGACAAATATAATAAAGTTTATTCTATTTGCGATGGGAAATGTTTATCGAAATTCACATTCAGTTTCCTAGCAACGTCATCTATTGATGATCTCCTCGAAGCTTGTACTTATGATGGAGTTTCGAGTTCGATTTGGGTTATCAAACAGTACAACGCTGATGCAATATTCGACCTCGATATAATGCCATGTTCTTTCGAATTATGTACGAAATGTATGGCAGATTTCGCTTTGGGTTATCGCAGCTGAACCATCATTGACATGAATGAGAATTCGTGATAACTCATGTTCTTCTCAGATAAGGAAAATCCATTCAATTCTCCATTCCATATTCGATTCGATTTCGACTGACATTCGACTTCGATTCGATATCCGAGGTCGAGAATATCGAATTTCGAGATTATCGCAGTCTCTTCTATTTATATACAGGAAAAGGATTAGTGAAGTTACTTCAAACCAAATACGCTCGTGTCACATGACTTCAGCTCCACTTCACCCACTCGGTCGCCGAAAAATAAACGTTCTCGATGAACCTATCCTAAGTGTTAATTAATTAAAAAGTACTGAATAAATATTTTTCTGTACATTTTTCCCGTAGTCAGGGACCCCAAATCTATCAACAGGACAGAAGACTTATTTTATGTGATTTGGAAAATAAAAATTTCGTCGTATGAATTTTTTCCCCATTGCCGTAATCTGGACATCCATTTTGATAATGAGTTACCCTCAAACAAGCAAACCGTTATTGACAAATCCAATGATAAGACGAAATTTAACCCATTAACCTCTCCTTTACTGTTTTTCCCAACGATGAAAATCTATTTTATCGCATATTAGAGGAATAAACTGGTGTGATGGAAGCACCGGACGAAATCGATGTACTGGAAGTCTGGGAACGCACAAAGTTTGCAAAACGAGTGATAGTGAGGTTAGTTCACGGACCACGTTCTTTTAATGGCCACAGAGACGACGGCAAAGTGGTCCAAGGGATTTCCCAGGCCGAGCAATTAAGGTGTTTACTGAGCAAACGGCTTTTCTTCCGCAGAAGTTGGCCCTCCCCCCCTCTGTACTCTTCAACTCGGCTCCTTCCTGTTATATACTTCTTTACTCTCACCAAGAGGCGACCGGAAGTGAAGCGGGTGAGTGCGCGTTTTATTGGCTAGTGAATAGGTCGTTATGTCGATATATCCCACTGGGGATAATTCGACGATAGCTAGAGTTGAGCTCGTCATTGAGAAGTTAATTGGCTTCTCCGGGGCATCAAGAGGGTTACAAGAAATATTGAAATATCGGAGTTATTGGAGCGTAAAACGAATCAATAGAAAAATGCGTGTAATTGGGGAAATTGTTAGTGAGGCGGGTTTTTGATAGAGGAGGAATTTGACGAGATACGGCTTGAAAGAGCGTTCATTGATCGTCAATAGCTCGCCATTGACACATTGAATTTTAACGAGTTTTCTGCCATTCTAAATGCATTTTACGACGCAAACTGATTTAATCACATCTTTTCATCGGAAAATATAGACAGTTGGGAAGATTAACGTTCCAAAAGCGCGATTTTTATCGTGTGTCAACTATACGTCTCCAATACAACACGGGAACAAATCGAAACATAAATTACGTATTCAAACAAATAAATATAGAGATTTCAAATTAGTAAATTACGAATTTGAAATCATAATTTATGATTTTCATCTCATCGTTTACCTAATCGGAAACATGTATCGTAAATTACATCCCAGAAAACCTATTTACACTGAGAAGAAAAGTGTAGATTAAGTATTTACTTGATTGATTGTCATGTAATGTTTTTTATCGAGTAAACTGCGCGCATACGATAGTTTTTCTATTCTTTAATTTTTCTAGCGTCATTCGAACCTGCACCTACTTGATTCAAGTACATGCAGGAAATATTCAAGTGCATAATCGTTTGCAAATAGAATTATCGAATGACAAATGAACTAATCATTGTCAACGTCGTGAATTGGTAATGTTATGAAAAGATTGATTCAAGAATCAGGTCGATTACTGACGACAACAAGTTCGGTGCAAACTTTAATGAAGAACGTACGCGTTTAATCAATGCTTTTTTGCTCAGTGTACGATTAGTTTTTTCGGCGTAGAATGGAATCTGCGAAGAATGGCAAATGATCCGCAAATCCAACTCTGCCAATCACTAATGAGTTGGTCGATCTAGGACATGTCGGTTTTGTAAAGCGGCCTCCACTCGATTCTCAGAATTTGCTGGATTCATCGAAATTTTCAGAATTGATTAACATCACTATTGGTTATCCGCCAAATGATACATTCCACACATCGGACTACTCACATTGTTAATTTAATTAGTAAATTCCCATAAATGGGCCGCATCATGGCCCCGGACTTCCTAATTATGAGCTTACATTTCTCTCATCGCTGTCCCAACACTCTCCTCGACCCCCTGAAAATCAATTTCCCAAGATACATATCTCATCTCCTCTGGTTACAATCAATTTCCACCAGGCCAGTTCAACTATTGATACACCAAACAGTGTCTCTACCTGTCTCCCCGAAAATTGAGCAATAGCTTGTTTGATCGATTTATAATCGGATATGAATGACTGGTCGAATGATACCTAGCCCGCCCAGTCAAACAGTATCGCAACACAAACAAGTTAGCTTGTTGGTTACTGGTGTGGGGACAAAATCAGCCAATAGAAGGATGCTGAGAGAGGAATTGGTGGATGGTTGGAATGGTTGATAGAGTTCCTCTGTGGACGAATGGATTGAACATTCGATGAGCGAAAATAGACGAGGACAGAAGATCGATTCGCCATCTAGTGACTAGTCTGACCGATCAGCTATTCGAGTACGAATCTAGCGCCAAATAGCCCTTCCTTATCTATCCTAGTTTGCCTGCTCTCTTCATCCAATGAGGGGTACCTTCTACAAACAACAAACAAGTCAGACCGTGTTCGTGGCTCTTACGGGAGCGGCCAACGACGCCCTGGTGTAGCCCAGTCTTGTTGATCGATCGGTTGTTCCGGAGCGATCTGTAATCGCTTCGACGAGAGGTGATTTCAAATTACATTCCATGCACGCAGTTGCTAAGGGGTGGGAAAAGCATCGAAAGGGATGGCTAGAGAATCGAGGAGGTACCTCTAATCTAGCCCTCGTAGAATCAATTCGACACGTGAATCGTAGGTTAGGGCCAACCGTCGGACCATCATGTGTAATCTAATTAGAGTCTGACCATCGAAACTTTGAGTTAATACCATTGTCTTGAGATGCATGACAGCTTGAGTAAAGATACACTTCAACTATGTTTTGCTTCAATACAAAATTGACTTACCTGAGATTCATCGCGAAGAAGTTTGTGATGGTGTTCGCTGGTGTCCAGGGAACGCTTGTGAACGTGGGGATGAGTGAAAAGATAATAGTTCTTCAGGGCGCCAATCTGCAATAATAATAAATATGTTATTAAGAAAACACTTATAAAAAAATACTTTTTTTCCAACATCGAATGTCACTTAAGATAAGACTTTCTTTACATAGAAGAGGGGAAGTTTTTTATAGCGTTCCATATTTTTGTGACGTCAAAGGAGTCGTTGGATAGGATTTGGATTAGGTAGGAAGGGCAACAGGATGATTCTCGATATAATTTTTACAAGAAAATTACTGAAAAAATGGACTGGGCAATTCTGACAACAAGTAATTTGGTTTCCTCGACAGGAATTCTTCCCGGTGAAATATTATTATTGCTTTGCGCAAGTACCATTCTTATTTTTTGCAAATACTTTGATTAATTTCTGCTAAATTTCGTTATCATTTCTAAGAAGTCTCTTGTTCCTTCTTCTTACATGTTGGAATACTGCACCCGTTTTGAGTGCAAATGTTTTTACTGTTTTTGACAAGTAAAATCAGTATTTTCAGAAACCACCATACCGATGCTGAGTGCTAGTAATTTTATCTGTCATTGAAGAATCACGAAGTATGAAAGATGATAGAGATAAAAATTCTAGAGTTATTGGACGGCTACTGTTGCATATTTCATTGACCACCTATAGTTCCTTCGGGTAATAATATTGTCATTAAAAATGAATCGAACGTCCTGTGCTTAATTTAATGGAAAAGGTTAATGGAATAACTGGGGTGCAGACTTGGGTACGTCGCACCATTTCAAATTCGGTATGTCATATTTTGGTGAACATATAATTGTACTTTCACAACTTCGCTGGATATTTATGAACCTCTTCGAAAGTATAGAGCAAACTACATGAATATTTTTTCCGATCTACATACATTTTGACTGATTAATCCAACTCCAGATTGAAACGTCATAACGTCATAAGAAACGAATATTCTGCAAATGTCATAATACTTGTAATTGATTGAATTATTTGTGGGGTTCACTGTAGTTTGAGAGGAATTATTTATATTAGGACACGCTTTTCCATGTTTAGGAATGAGATTGATTTATTGACAGCGATTCAACGTGGCTTACACCATGGGCGCTGGAACGTAGGTATCTCCCGCGAGAACGGCGATAATATTCGTTTGGTCGAAGGTGTCCGAATTATCACGGATTATATCGAAGGTGCCCTGCGACAAGGACAATGTAGTGTACGTCACACCGCATTCTTGGTATGGAATTTTGTTGGTAAGCCCAGATCAAAAGAATGTGTTTGGCTGGTACAGAACCGATATCAAAATAAATGTGAATATCGAGGTAGCTTCGCTACATATTATTCCATGGGCCGAATGTTCGTAATTATTTCAAAAGTTCGAGTCATTTTATAATTTGACTCTTCTAAATGGCATTCTACATTTTTTGTACATTTTCTTATTCAGGGCGATAGCATCCGAATTATTTATGTGTTGTACACATAATTGGTGTACACAGTGGTAGGGAGTATCTATGTGGATTGTAGGTTTTAGGCTCGAACGGATAAATCCCACCAATAGTTTACAGGTATTGAATATTCCTTCAATATTCCTTTAATTATGTCATCTGACTGATTACCAAGATTAGGACTAACACATGTCGGAGGTCGATTTGGACCTGCCTTCTGCATACCCAAACGGCCTCTTAAATACATAATTGTTTGTGTGTTATTACTTGGTCAGCATAATCCAGTTATACTGGCA